GTTTGCTGGGGGAGATTTCGGATTTTTGTCAGTTAAAACATGTTCTTTTAGCCTCTGAAACATGTTTTGCGCAAGGATGTAACAGCCTACGCCAATCACACTCTTTCGCCCCTTACATTGAACCTCAATGGTATTTTCTTTTCCACGCTTTTTGTGCCCATTTAAAACCGAGTAAAAAAAAAACAAAAAAAAAAAAAAACAAAACAAAACAAAACAAAAACAATAGAGTGGGTGGCCACTCTCTTAAAACAAATTATTCGGTGTACCTGGCTCCACCTTGCAAGGTGGATCCAGATTCAAAAATATACAATTTACATACTGAATGTTCATAATTTACATACTAAATGTTTACAATTCAAATTGTGAAACATTTAGTATATAAATTGTGCACATTTAGTATGTAAATTTTGTATTTTGGACTCAGCAAGATGGATCCGAGTCCATGGTATAACTGCTAAGGTCAACCACATTAGTGGATTTTGGACCAATTTTTGAGGTTTTGTGAGTAATGTGAATGAGAGAGAGGGATGAGAGAGAATATGTGAGCTCCTCCTACAAATATTGGTTTTTTTTGTGGGAACCGCAGGAGAGAGAAAGGATGAGGGAAAGGCGCACATGCGTGCGTGGGCGCACAGGTTGAAAGAATTTCTCCAACAAATTGAGACTTTGATTAATCTAGATCTTCATGAAACTCTTACAGGGCATTTGGTTAGAATGAGAGAATTAGGGGGGAAATGAATTGTAATTTCGTGTGAAAAGAATAATGTGGAAATTTAAATTACATTATTTGGTATGCAAGAATAGAATGATTGGAAATTGAAAGGGAAGAAGTAAATAGAGACTAATAATATAATAAGAAGGGTTAAATAGTAATACCTTAAGAATTGCAATTCCATGGTTGGAGGGAATTGCAATTCCTTCCAACTAAAACGAGTTTGGCAGAAATGGCAATGGAATTGCAATTCCCCACCCCCACCCCCACCCCCTTTGTATATATTGTATGTATAGACCCCTTATATATATATAGAGTAAACGTGTGTAAATGTACAAAAGTTTATTCAAAGGGTAAGTGTAAAATTATTTTACACGTTAAATCTTATTGGCTATTTTATTTAGTAGTGTTGTTATTAGAATTAATTAAGGGTTGTTAGTGTTAATCTTCATTTGGACCCCTTGATATCTCTCAAAGTAAATTTGAGTGGACAATATGCATTGTCAAATGAAAAGAAAGTCAGCAGCAGCGCACAAATGAAGCCTTCAAAACAAAGAGCATGTGGTTGTGGTTTATCGAAAAAAAGAGGATGCTAATATTAAGGATCAAAGTGGAGGTTTAATATGTGCTATAAAAAGAAACCACACCAAAGAGGAAGGTTGCCAACTTTGAGACTACAATTCTGATTGCATACTTTCCTTACAAAGCTTCTTAATTTAATATGCTATGTTATTCAATTGTTAAGAAGAATTAATCTGGGATACTTGATCTGTACGTGGTACTGCTGAAGCATCTTGTGAAGATTGTTTTGGCATACGTGTTTCGGTCCTGAATAGGTGTTAGAAAGAGTGGTAGTGGTAAAGGCTGGAGGCCATTTATATTTACCTCTTGTAATACTCCTTTTGGTGAACATCTATAGTGGATTGGGCAGACGCGGGTTGCCCCGCAGACGTAGGAGAAGGAGCTCCGAACTGCGTAACAATTCTTCTGTATTTTTACTTTATTTTATGCTTTCTGTCTTCGTTATTTATATTTGTTTAAAGAAATTAAATTAATGAACGTAACTGGTGCATAACTTAAAAAACAAGTAAAAATACGTTACATCTTGCTTTCAAGACTCACGGTGTAATTTCACAAAGGATGAATTAGCATAGATGGTTAGGTTTATGTTAGTTTGTGAATAGTAATGGGTTTAAAACTTAGTACATTGATTTTATAAATTTTATTTTTTTGGACATTTTAAATATTAATTGTGAGATTATAATTGTGATTTATGAGATTAATTTCTAATTCTAATTGGATTCTCTATATGTAACATTGTGGTTTTCTTTTAAATATTAATAGTGAGATGCGTGGTTTATAATGTAACTCTTTATTTGAACTATGTTTTTGTTTTGAATATTTTTTATCGCTTTAAATGTATTTTTATTTTTTATTTCTAGTCAACAATACTTATGACTTGGCCGGCCTCTAAGTGTTTCATTTTTGTTTTCACCCCGACTAAAGAAGATTTAATTTATGGATTCACCCCTGAATTCCATCATACCAAACACCCCATTAAAGTCTCTTGAATAACCAAATAATTGGCGTAGAAGCTTTTGTAGAATGCTTGATAAATTTTCTTATGTATCTCGTTATTTTCTCTTGAGCATTCTTCACTTATTTATACTTGGATTTCTACAAATTTATCTATAGGAGGGAAACATTTTCAAATTGTTATAATGTGTTTTTGCCAAAATTTGACTAGTGTAGACTTCTTTCTCAAATGCTATGTGCAACTTGTCCCCAAAGTCCAACTTTCATAGTTTTCACACCAATCTTTCTAGAAAAAAGACAAATATCTACCTTAAATAATGTGTCAACGTCTCTAAAAGCAGTAAGCATCCCTTGTACTGTAGAGGATATTTGTAAAATAGTTATGTTGCTTATCATCTTTCTCTATTGATAAGCTTTATTACTTCTCAAACCCAGCGTTGAAAAAAAACGTTAGGCGCCCCTAGGAGCTCGATTTTTTATTATTTTTTTTTCAAATAAAAATCGGAGTTCGGCCGCCTAGATCGCCTAGGGCGCCTAGGTGGCCGACCGCGGAGGAGGCCGATTTCGGCCTTCCTCGACGTGACTGGGCGCCGCCTAGCGCCTAGACGCCAATCGGCGCCTAGGCGATCTTTTTGCAACACTGCTCAAAACTTCTGTTGCATAAATCCTCTACTCTATATAAAACTTGTGCTCACTACAAGAAAAATGCACATAGACAACGGTTAATAACCGTTGTCGTAGGGGTATAATTTCTGTTGTTGAAGCCGGTGTTGTTGTAAGTCCCGCGCATAGACAACGGTTTTTTAACCGTTGTCTTTTCTAGAAACAACAACGGTTTTTTAACCGTTGTCTATTAAGTGTTGTCGAAGCCGGTGTTGTTGTAAGTCACGCACATAGACAACGGTTAATAACCGTTGTCTTTTCTAGAAACAACAACGGTTTTTTAACCGTTGTCTATTAAGTGTTGTTGAAGCTGGTGTTGTTGTAAGTCACACACATAGACAACGGTTAATAACCGTTGTCTTTTCTAGAAACAACAACGGTTTTTTAACCGTTGTCTATTAAGTGTTGTTGAAGCTGGTGTTGTTGTAAGTCACACACATAGACAACGGTTAATAACCGTTGTCTTTTCTAGAAACGACAACGGTTTTTTAACTGTTGTCTATTAAGTGTTGTTGAAACCGGTGTTGTTAAAAATCACGCACATAGACAACGGTTTTAAACCGTTGTCTTTTCTAGAAACGACAACGGTTTTTTAACCGTTGTCTATTAAGTGTTGTTGAAACCGGTGTTGTTAAAAGTCACTCACATAGACAACGGTTTTAAACCGTTGTCTTTTCTCGAAATGACAACGGTTTTGTAACCGTTGTCTATTGTGTGTTATTGAAACCGCTGTTGTTAAAAGTCACGCCCATAAACTGTTGTCTATTGTAAAATAGACAACGGTTTTTAACCGTTGTCTCAACGGCAACGGTTTTTAACCTACTTAAATTTTAATCATATAAAAAATCAATTTATCCATTCACCATCGCCAAGTGTAGTTACATAATTTTGCACAAGCTAAGGTTCAAAATACAAAAGAACTAATTAACAAGTCTAAATACTTCCATGACCAATTCAAATCGAATCATCGTCCAAGTCATATACTACAAAAAACAATTCCACGAATCAAGTCTAAATGATCACAACGTTCTAATGATCAAATCATACCTACTCTATATAACTTGATAGAATATCGGCCCATTCAGAACGCACCAGATCAATAACCGCTTTGTCATAATCAAGTTGTTGGAACTACATGTAAAAAGTGAGTAAATAAATTAGTACGTAGTCAACATAACATTATAAAAGATAGCTAGATAGATAGATAGTGAGACTACAAAAATAAGCCAAAACTACTGGCATAATGCAGTAGTATATGCAGTGGTCATTCATTATCCTTTTGCATTTGCTTGGATTTGGACAGCTCTAATATATGCCCAACAGGTACAGCTTGGATTTGGACAGCTCTACTAGTGTTCATCATATGCAATGGTATGTTGTTAGGCAGTTAGGCTAGGTCTCATGGCAATAAACCGAGCTGAGCCACATTTTTAATTGTTTGGGTCTATATTCATTAGTAATTTATGAGAACATTTAATTTAATTGTAGGAACAATCCATGTAGCCTACGAAAAGAATTCCCACTTTTTCATATACAAATTTGTGCATGGACTAAATTTAAACTTATACATTTTGAGTGCCTGCAAAAAGGAGTGAAAAAATGGTCCCATATACATTCTGGACATCATTTTAGTAATCACAACTTAGGCACCATCAGTCTGTTATCACACACCTCATTAACCATTTTTCATGTTATATCAACTTCTAAATGATGTCAAGACTTGCAAGGATAGAACTCTGAAGGGCAGGATGTGCAATCCTTCCAAAAATAGCAATAAGTGTTTTAGACAAGATTCTCATCAAATATGGAACGCACAGAGGCAGTATAGTAGGGTAGTCCCACTGATCAAAATGAAGAACAGAACAAGATATTTCTTCATGACACTCTAAATTAAGTATGTTGATCAAAGTCACAAAAAGAAACAACTAAGTTGCATATAGTTTTGGCATCATAAAATGATCAGTGGCATAGTATTTACCTGAGCCGCTTCATTGGCTGCATTTTTGGTCCACAAAGAAAGTTTGTCCTGTCTCTGACGCACACTGGCAACCACTCCACATATCTCCTCTGCTTCATCAAATTGCTCTCCAAACAATAGAATAGTAAAACATTAATGTGTATAATATTAAAATTTAAAGAATAAAATTTTTCCACCAAGGATATATTACAGTTTCAAGCCACATGGTGTCAAGAATTGCCTTCTTGCTGCTGCTGACAGTCCACTTGCCTCCATTGGCAAACTCAGGATCTTCCCATTTTGGCTCAATCCCAACTTTAAACAAATGAAAAATAAATTCATATCGCTTAAAAATATTTAAGTAACAAGACAAATAATATATATATTCAGGTCACAGAAATTGGTTCTTTCTTGGTTATTCAAGCATGAATATTTGCACACAATTTTGGTTCAATGCAGTGAAGTAACCTGTCAAATACTAAATTGCTTAACCTGTCACAATTTTGGTTTGCACACAGTTTTATTAGGGGAAAAAATCCAAAGAAACTTAACAAACAGACCTATGAACTTCTAATCAAGAATTTTCTTAACCTGTCAGAAGAATCACACAAGTGGGTCATACTTAATAGCATAAAGTAAACTAAAAGATCAACAACAATGAGTATTTATCAAGATTATAAAATGATGAAGCTTAAGGGTCCATGAAAGAAGCTAGGGTTTGAAGTCTTATCCACAAATATTATCAGAAATCTAAAGGGAAGCTCCAAATTTCTTCTTTTCTTGAATCCTGAGGCTCCTAGTTGGACCACAAGTTTCTAGGTAATATAAGAAACAAATTCTCTCAATTAAGTGCTTTCTTGTTCACATACAATGTCTACACCTAGATGGAAAAACAAAATTCACTTCATAGCTTAGATTGATACTGCAGTTGCGATTATAGAGTGGTTCATCAAGCATACACAGAGATTGAATACAAATAAACAACTCGAATACAATGCCATAACAGCTTGATTAATAATCTGCCACTGGACCAATGTGCATAAAGCCTACTGAACCAAATATGATTTTACACAAATCAAATTTACTTCAAAGACACAAAACAAAAAGCTAATAAGCAGAGTCATTACTTTAAAACAAATCAAAATTAAGAAAAGATAACATCTTGCTAAACTTCACAGATTTTAGGCAAAACATAATCTATAACCACCCATAAGTGACTACAAACTTAAATCTGATGCAGTATGCCTGGTAATCATTATGCAAAGCATTGTCAACTCATTATTTTATTCAGCTGCTCAGTTGCATATTTGTTTGCCTCAATTTTTGAAATCCATCAAATTCAAAGTGGCAAAATAAAAACCTGCCATAAAAAAGAGGAATTTGCACGTGTAATTGAAATATCATGCCTTAGTAGTAATAGCTTGATCGACGTGATGTTGTGACTCGTTAATAAATTGTTGCCAAAAAGATTTGCACTAGAGTGGTGTTATCAACGTTTTTTATGCTGGAACCTGAAAGGGGAGCATAGGAAAAGCAAGTGAATTTTTTTAAAATGCATTACAGCAATCAACCAAGATGCAGATGGTGATGGGCCTTGACAATGAATAAGAAAATATTGATGTTCTAAGACACTTCAAATATTTCAAATTGTAAAATCATTAGCAACTCTAGGAACCTGTGGGGTTAGAATGAAATAAAGTCAGGAAATATCTAGAAGAGGGGGAGAAAGGGGGAGCACAGGAAAAACAAGTGAAATTTTGAGAAAGCACAACAATGCATGGGAAAACATTGATGTTCAATTGTTAACAGCGACAACATTCCAATTTGTAAAATATAAAAAAGGGACACTTTCTTAAGTGCACCACTGAAATGGGTGATCAGACATGAAACATCATAATGTTCAATTAATCATAGCCATACAGATGAACGTGCTCTTTTGGTAATTGCTTTGATGTCTTCCTTCCCTGTCCAACATCGGGGCATTGAATCGGAATCACGGCAAAATAATGTAGAAAACCTATCAACAATTTTGGAACACTTCTCAATATGTTCACACATTTATAGTTCCAAACTTCAAATAAGAACACACTCAAACTATAAAACGAATTCATGTTTCCCCTAAAAATACTAACCATTGTATCTGATAAACACACAGCTAACATTATAGAAAAAATTCTGTTGCATATATAAAGAGGACTACAAGTTTTCAGGCATAAGAAACAATTGTGATAAACACACAGAAATTTTTGCAAATCTGTTGCAAACACACCGGACTACAATCTGTTGCATTCTCAGAAATTTTTCACATCGTCAAACCCCAATTCCCCAACCCTAGCTTCAATCCAAAATTGTTTAGCATAAACACACGCATTGATAATATCAAATAATATTTGGATGAATTTCACAGCTTATTACGTTACAAGAGAAAAACTAACCTTCAATTTTTCACACAAGTTTACTGAGTTCTTCACGGCGGCGGCGGCGGTAGAGGAGGGAGGCGGCAATGGCGGTAGAGGTTGTAGGCAGCGACGACGTCGGAGGTTGGAGGCGGCATGAGAACTGGGAATGACGGTGTTAGTCGGTGTTACTGTCCAAGGAGAAAATTTGCAATGGAGAGAAATTTTGAACGATGGTCGAATTTTGTTGAAAGGAAATTTTGCAAAGAGGGAATAATTCGCGCTAAGTTAAAACTTGTAAAGAGGGAAAGAATTGAAGAAATTATTTTTATTTTACAAAGAGGAAAATAACATAACATATATTATATATTATATACTCCGGTACTATGTACTAATATACTTTAAGGAAAATAACGAAATTTTATTTTAATTTTATAATAAACTTTCATTTTTTTCAAATTAAATAAGTACATTCATGGTTTTATAGGGACGGGGTCCACCATAAACCGAGTATATAGGTATAGAACGGGGGTAAGAAAATATTAGTTTTATTACCCGGGATGCAGACCCAAAATAGTACCGAGTATATAGGTACAGAACGCGAGATTTATAAATTTCTATGCTGTAGATTCTTAATTTCTATACTGTAAATTCATAAAATCTTTACTCTTGATTCATAGTTTCTAAACCGTAGATTCATAATTTAAATACAATAGATTCATAATTTAAATACAGTAGATTCATAATTTCTATACAGTAGATTCATAATTTCTATACTGCAGATTCATAATTTCTATATTGTTGATTCATAATTTCTAAACTGTATAGTTATCAAATTATGAACATATAGTTATGTGATTTGTGAATACAGAGTTCAACAATTAGGAATATGAACATCGAAAATTATGAACATAGAGTTCTGTAATTGTGAATATAGAATTCAATCATTATGAATATGAATTTCAAAAATTATGAATATAGAGTTCGGTAATTGTGAATATAGAGTTCAATCATTATGAATATGAATTTCAAAAATTATGAATATATGGTGCACACGGTTGTACAGCATAATTTGCCCTTTATTACCCTGATGTTTATTACCCAGACAGTTGGCGGCCCAATTATTACAAAGATCGCGGCGAACGAAATGGGCTATAGCTAACTGTACGAAATCAAGTACTATTTCATATCCATTCTCCATGTGTCCCATGCATGCCGGAAGGGTCGATTACTAACATATAGCTAACCTTGTTAGTCATGCGCTAGCCGGAAGGGTCGATTACTAACATCGGCCCCTATCATACCGCCCTTACCCGACCACACCATACCGCACCATTCTGAACACCACACCGCACCGCGCAGGGTCGTTCTAGGCCATGTCGGACCGGCGCGACCGCACAGGGCCCCCAATTGTTGGGGGCCCGATTTTTTAAAACAAATATTATAGATATAATCTATTATTTTTTTATACTTGATAATTTTTTTATTTTTTTTTTTGAATTCATAGATTGGTCTTAATTGTAATTGAAAATAAAACTTGAATGAATTGACATTGAAATTTTGGTGAATAATTTTATATTTTTTTTTTTTTGAATGCGAATAATTTTATATTTAAATATGAACAAAAATAGAATTATTAAATTAACTTTTGAATTCTATTCTTTCTTTGATAATTTTTTATGCATTATATTTGGACAAAAAAATTTAATTACATTTTTATTCTTGTTAACAACCTTAGGAGAATACTTTAGTACACAGAACGTGAGGTTGTTAATCGCCGGCCGCTCATGACGGTGGTCAAAGCTGCCAGCCCAAAATTATAGGTAAAATATAAGGTGTAACACTTTAAGACACAAGAGTTGGTGTGGCTTGGTGGATTTAGCTTTGTTTGTTATGTTAAAGGTCTTGGGTTCTATCTTTAGTGGTGGCATCCTTAACTTATTTTATTTTATATAATCATTGTGTTCTTAATGTTGTGCTGGTAAGGTCTCGGGTTTTATTCTTCTTGGGGGGAATTTTTCAACTATTTTTTAAAATTGTTGTCTTGGTTTTCACAAACAACATAGAAGCAACTCAGTTATATACCAGATGTTGCACTTTCAAACAAAAGAGTTTGTGTTGCTTAGTTGGTTAGACCTTATTTGTTAAGTTTGAGGTCATAGGTTCAACTCTTGTTGTTAACATCTTTATTTTTATTTTATACAATTGGTAAATAATGATGCACAAAGACAACGGTTTTTTATAACCGTTGTCTTTGTAGTGTTGTGTATTCAAATACGCTTAAAGACAACATACCAAAGACAACGGTTAAATAAAACCGTTGTCTTAAACAAATAAAGAACGCGCAACGACAACGGTTATATAAAACCGTTGTCGTTCTAGTGTTGTGTATTCGAGTGCGCTTAACGACAACACACCAACGACAACGGTTAAATAAAACCGTTGTCTTTTTTAAATAAAAGAGCGCACAAAGACAACGGTTTTAAACAACCGTTGTCTTTCTAGTGTTGCGTATTTCAGTACGCTTAAAGACAACACAACAATGACAACAGTTAAAAAAACCGTTGTCTTCTTTAAAAAAAAAAACGCACATAGACAACGGTTTTAAAAAACCGTTGTCGTTGTGGTGTTGTCTTTTCACAAAATGCACAAAGACAACACACTTATAACAACGGTTAAGTAAAAACCGTTGTCTTTGACAAAAGTGTTGCATCAGAGACAACGGTTTTGGACCAAACTGTTGTCTTTTATACAAAAGACAACACTTTTCTTAAAAACTGTTGTCTTTCTAGTGTTGTCTATGTGCATTTTTCTTGTAGTGGCTCTTGAAAGTCCTTATGCTAAGAAGTCTTACTACTGCTTACATAATCTCCTAGTCACTTCTTAAACTTCTGCTGGTTGTAAAATTCTTGCTGCTTCAAATGGATGATATTAACAAAAAAAAAAAAAAACTCTTGCAGGATGCTACTTAGAGCATTCACTATAGAGGATTATTCCAAGTTATTTCAGAATGAATTCTTTTAAAATAAGGAGCAAAGCTAATGTGGGAAGGGGATAATTGAAAAAGAATTCTCCTGCAAATTATAGAATAATGTCAAAACTAAAAAAAAAAAAAAAAATCAGTTTTTATGTTTAGTAACTTATACTACATCAATCCTTTGATGCATGCTTGATGAAGTCAGCAATACATCATCAACAAATTTAAGTTGTGTTGAAGTCTTCTTATATTTTGATCCTTCGACAATTTTTGTAGTGATAACGTGTACTCCTGATTATACTAATATTAAAAGGAAATGTTTAGGCCATAGGGTTCATATTTTAATCATATTTTAATCGTACTTTATACTTGTATCATCAAAATCTATTTTTATACTTATTCATATACTAGTTTTTTACGCGCATTGCGCGATTGGGATAATGCCCAATGTTTTTTTTTTAATAAGTACTTTAAAGTATATCAAGGCAATATTATATTGGAATTGCTCATGCATAGATAATTGAATGTTGAATTTACGTATTTAAATAGGTAATTCTAAGTTTACAAATGCAAGATAATATAGTCAAGATTGATTATAATTGTCAAAAAAATAATTGTATAGGTATAGTTGAAACCAAATATGGGACATAAGGGTGAGCAAATAAAAATTAGGGCATAAAATATTAAATATATACAAATATTGAAAAGCTAATTAGTGCAAATTTCCAAACAAGGACATTGCGAGGTTTTCAACTTCAATTTTTTGTGTGATTTGAATACTCTTTTTGTCAATAAATCCCCAAAGTAGTTAATATGATTGGCTTAATTATATTTTTTTATTTTTTTATTTTTTAAAAATGATGATGATGATGATTATTATTATTATTATTATTATTATTATTATTATTATTATTATACCCTTAGATCATTTTACATGTTAATCTAAACAACTAATTTTTTCAAATATCTTTTTACCAACCGTTGATATAATTCGCTGGTCAAATCCGCAAACTGCTGATTGTCAAACAAAGATATTGCGAGGTAGTTCTCACTTCAATTTGTTGGGTGATTTGAATACTCTCTTTGTCAACAAATCCTTCAAGTAGTTAATATGATTGACTTTATTAATTATATATATATTTTTTAATTTTTTCATATATTAATAAAATACTTGATAAATAAATATATAGCATTATTTTGAATTATAACTTTGACTTTTAATTAAAAAAAAAATAGTGCACAAAAAAAAAGATAATAGACAATGTAGTGAATATAATCAATTGATGAATTTGAATGTAAAGAATTTTTACATTCGAGAAAAATAAAGATAATATAACTAATGAAATTATTTCTCTTAATTAATTTATTGATAATGAATAATTTTTTTTTAATAAAGACATTGTTGGGACAATGTAGCAAATATAATCAATTGATGAATTTCAATTTTGAATGTAAAGAATTTTTATATTGGGGAAAAATAAAGACAATATAACTAATGAAATTATTTCTCTTATTTAATTTATTGATAATGAATAATTTTTTTTTAATAAAGACATTGTAGACACATAATTCTAAATTAAAGAAATGCATATGTATTATTTTTTGTTGTAACTACTAAATTATTATTTTTTTAATTTAATAAGAGTAAAATAGAGTACTAATTATGCTAACTTTGATTGGATGAGATTCGAACTTAAGACCTTTCTTATTGAAATCAATGAGTAAGTTAACGCTGAACTAACAGAAATTAACGGAAAAGATAATATTTAATGGAAAAGTTAACGGATAATCATATTCATTAAAGATAAACTAGGAAATCTCAAGGAAAAAATTAAAATCTGATCAATCTGAGCCATTCATTTGATTAAAAAATTTGACCGCCATTTTTTCTACACATTATAGGCCTAACTCTCTTGGGCTCTTATTAGTATAGTAGATAGTAGATATAATAATATATATTAGTATATGGTAGATATATATATATATATATATATATATATATATATATATATATATATAATTAGGTTCTGGTGCGGTTAGAGTGCCCAGGTGCGGTTGTGCGGTCTAATCTGGACCATTCATCTCGCTTAAATCAACGTCCAGAATTGTCAAAATTTTAAAA